CTGCCCTCTGTGCCTGCTCCGATCTGCCCCAGAGCCACTCGCTCCTCGCTGCTGTGAGGAGCGCACTCCTCCTGTCCACAGGCCTCACCCCCCCCCCCAACTTGGATGCTTTCCAACCCCGTCACCTCTTGTTCCTGCTCCTTTATTTTACTTATTTTTAAAAAATACTTTATTTGGCTGCACTGCATCTTGGTCACGGCACGTGGGATCTTCAATCTTCATGGCAGCACGAGGCATCTTCAACTGCAGCCTGCTAACTCTTCGCTGTGGCATGCGGGATCTAGTTCCCAGACCTGGGACTGAACTCAGGACCCATTCGCTGGGAGCTCACCACCAGGGAAGTCCCTGTTCACGCCCTTTTAAATCCTAGCTCTACACCCCCCCAGGACCCTTTCCTGTTGCGCTGCCCGTTCCGGGGGCTCCCCCAGTCCCCGTCCAGTCCACCCCACGGAGCCTCTTATCCACCGAGAGGATACCGTGGGATTCTGACTGATACGGGTGTTCTCAGTCGTGTCCAGCTCTTTGCGAACCCGTGGACAGTAGCCCACCAGGCTCCTCTGTCCGTAGGATTTCTCAGGCAAGAATACTGGAGTGGGTTGCATTTCCTTCTCTGGGAGATCTTCCCAACCCGGGGATGGAAGCCATGTCTCCTACATTGGCAGGCGGGTTCTTTACCCCTGAGCCACCTGGGAAGCCCTGGGACTCTAACTGCACGGTATCTTCATGGAAGCTGCTGTGACCTGGACCCAGAACGGGGATGGATCAGGCCCAGTTCCCACCCCAGAGCTCCCAGGTGAAGAAAGAGAAGCCAAAGGTTATACACGGTGACCCACACGTGAGAGGAGGTGACCACCATTCAGATGTCCGTTTAACAGGTGTGTTAACTGCACCTGCCACCTCCCCAGGGTATGTGTACACACCCTGTCTACACGCATACACACGTCTGCCAATGCCCCAAGCCCCATCCATTCCTTTCACAATTATTTAAGTACCATCTGCACACCCACTGTGCGCTCTAGATGAGGAAGGCCACCAAACAAGATGGAGACACAGGGGTGCTGTGGTGAATTCTCTGCCCCTATGGGATCAGGGGCTTGCTCACTCAGTGGTGTCCAACTCTGGACTGTAGCCCGCCAGGCTCCTCTGTCCATGAGATTCTCCAGCCAAGAATACTGGAGTGGGTTGCCATTTCCTCCTCCAGGGGATCTTTCTGACACAGAGATCAAATCCACATCTCTTGTGTCTCCTGTGGGTTCTTTACCACTGAGCCATCTGGGAATAACCAGGCCCCCAGGGGGGCGTGACATGCATTTTGTGGCTGGATGCTCACAGACCCCAACACACTGGTGCACACCCACCACCCTTCTCCAGCCATGGCTTTCACACACCATCATGTCTGAGGCCCCAGCACCCCAGGAGGGAGGCAGGATCTAGACCATCATCCACCCTATGCTGGATGGCTGAGGCCCAGCGGGTAGGTGACCTGCCCTCCATCACACAAGCCAGCGAGAGCCAGGGCTCCCAGTCTTGTTCTGGCTCCTCTCCCTGGCCTTGGTCCTGAGTATATTCATACTCATGCGGACACCACTTCCTTCTCCAAACTCATCGCCCCCATCTCTGCCCTCACTCAGATAAGGTGAGGTGAGGCTGGCTACCCTGATCCACCAGGGACAACTCAGGACTCCCCTCAAGCTCCAGCCAGGTGATATGATCCAATAAAGTGGCCCGTTCCTGTCCTCCCCCAACCCCAGAGTCAGGGAGAGCTTGGAGGCACCCAGCCCAGGTCACACCATCCCCTCCTTACATCCGGATCACTGCTGATGGGCAGACCTCCATCCGCCCATGGTCTCAGGAGCGTGCAGGGGTCCAGCCCCTGGGAGATCTGGGTCCAGCTGAGGCTCCACCACCCACCAGGAAAGTGATGCTGGGCAACCTGCTCCCCCCGCTCTGGGCCCCAGTCTCCCCCTGCCAGGTAAAGACATCCACAGCACCCTATTCCTTCCCCCCTCACAGACCAGTGGTGGGAGGTTGAGAGCCAGGTCCCCACGGAGCTGTTCTGGCCGAATCCCACCTTGGCCTTGGGTCTGGCTGAACTCCATGAAACCAGAGTCACATCACGGACACCATCATCAGCAACCATGTGTGACCACCCAGCGCTGTGCTGTTAGCATCTTTCTTTCGGCTCCCCACAGCTCCCCTCCAAGCACAAAGACTCTCCCAACTGACAGATGAGGACACGGGCACTCAGAAAGGCTGAGTAACCTTCCCGAGGGCACATAGCAGGAAGACTTAGGGGCCAACTTGAAAGCAAAGCCTGTCAGAGGAGCAAACATGCGCCTGACTGCCCCCCCCCCAACCCTTCCCCTGAGCAGCGCCCCCAAGCACAGCTCACTGCCCAGTGACATGTGTAGATATTTGCAGAAAGGGCTGAGTGGTTCTCCCAGGGTTCAATACTTCAAACTCTCTTTTCTGCCTCCTTTCAGAGAGCAAGGGGCTTCGGGACAGGGGTTGGGCCTCCTTTCTGGGGTCACGGGGAGGCCCAGGGTGGGCTTCCCGGAGTTGTTGGGGTCCTGACCACCAGAAGGGACCCCAGAGATACAGAGATGTCGTCTTCTGAGCCAAAAACGGGGCAGAGGGTGCTGCTAAGGTCACGGGCCTTCCAGGATATTGGGGGGGTAGGGGGAGACAGCAGAGAATTCTGGGAGCTGCCAGCCCTCCACACGGTCCCCAGGCTCTGGGTCACCCAATCCGTGCCCTCATGTCTGAAGCCTGGCATGAGAAAACCACTCCTCTCCAGTCCCCACAGAGGGGCAGCTCAGCGTCCCAGACAGTGGCCCTGACAACTGTATGTCCCCTCCCACTGGGCTCCCAGGTCCCATTGCCCCCCCGCCAAGGCCTGCAGAGAACCCTCCGGGTGGGGCTGACATAGCTCTGAACTGGCTCCCCGAGGTGGGTGGTGGGCACCTGGACGTGAGCCAGCTCGATGCCACGCCCACCTGCCCACCACCCTGAGTTCTGAGCAGCACCCTGAGGATGAGCATGGCCCACACGGGCAGTGACTCAACATCACACCAGATAAATTCAGGGCCTGCATCACCGAGACTGGGTCCCCCTCGCCTGGGAGCCTCACCATCCCCAACACCCCACCTGCCCACCCCCCACCCTGGGCTCCAGGGGGCTCTCCTGCAGGTGGTTCTGCCAGTTGTCAGCCCCATCCTACAGACCCCAAGGACTGCCTCTCCTGGGACGCACCTGGACACATAATGAGGCTTGAGGGTTCCCCAAGGTGACGCCATGGACTCCCGGGGGGCAGAAACAGGAGCCCCTCTCTCCTGCCTGGTCCCAGGGGCCATCAGCCTACAGTCCATTGCATCAACTTACTGAGCAGCCTCTTGCCTCCAGGCAGAATCTACAGTCACCATGTCCCACTGGGGACTCTCCTCTCATCTGGGGGTGCTTCCAAAGCCCTGATCACTCTCACCCCTCTATCGCCCCCCAATCCACCATAGTCTGCTCCCAAACCTCCCACCGGCTGTTCTGCCTCCAAGCTCCCGCCCAGCCTCCTGGATCAGGCAGCCAGGGGAGGCTCCTGGGCACCTGCAGTGGGGCAGCGAGCCCCAGACCGAGGCTCATGAGATGTGGTTTCAGATCCTGATTCTTGTAACTCTGGGACCTTAGCCATGTGTCTTCCCAGCTCTGGGCCTCAGCTTCCCTGTCTGAAAAGGAAAAGAGGTCAATGTACTCCTAGGTCGCCACCCCCCAGGAGGCTCAGGAGTGGAGAAGGGTGTCTGAGGGAGGCGGCAGGGGGACCCCCACAGAAGCCTCTGGGCTCCAGCCTTGGGCAGAAGTCACATCAGTCTTCCTGACAGACAGACCCCAACCGGCTGCCAGGGGATGGGTGTGTGTATATGAGTGTGTCTGTGTGTGCGTCTACTTAATGGGTCAGGACTTCTTTTTGGGTGATGAAATGCTCTGAAATTAGACCGTGGTGAACACTGCACAACTTCGGGAATATACGAAAACACACTGAAGTGTACGTTTTACTTTTTTTTGGCCATATCGTGTGACATGTGGGCTCTTAGTTCCCCAATCAAGGATCAAACCGGTGTCCCCTGCACTAGAAGTTTGGAGTCTTACCCACTGGACCACCAAGGAAGTCCTGAAGTGGACGTGTTAAAGGAAATAATCTTCAGATAAACTAAAAGAAAAACCCAGCATGCTAGAGAAGAAAAGAACAAAGTCCCCGAAGGCATGGCTGAGCCCCTAGTCAAGGCTCTGAGGACCAACCTACAGGCTTTTTCTTGGGGAGAGTACATAAACTCCTTTTTTAAAAACTATTTATTTCTATTTATTTATCTGACCGCACTGGCAGACACGAGATCTCCAACCTTCACTGCAGCATGTGGGATCAGGTTCCCTGATCAGGGATTGAACCCGGGCCCCCTGCATTGGGAGCGTGCAGTCTTAGCCACTGGACCACCAGGGAAGGCCCAAAACCCTCCTTCAGAGGTTTATGCCTCTATACTAGGGTCTTCTATATTCTGGAGCCAAACATGCTCCTAACTGATGGTCTGTCCCCTGGGCCACCCGCTGGGCCTGGTGGGAGGGTGGGGCACACACTGGGCAGTCGGTGTCCAAGGCTGGTGGTCAGGATTCAGCCAAACGTCAAGTTACTGGGCACGGTCACCAGCCGCAGCCTCTGGATCACCGCACAGCCATGCACACACACACACACACACGTGCACGCACAAAAGCGTGTGTCTAAATAGCCCAGGGGATTAACTGTTCTGAGGCTTCACACTTGCGTGCTCTCCACACACACCACCTGCCCTTCACGGAGCGGGGAACCCCCTCCAAACTGGGCTGCACCCGGCCCAGGGAGACGAGATGCCCCCCTCCACCCCACCACCATTATTACCTTCTAGATGCCTCTGAGATCACAGTCAGGCCGGCAGAGGCAGCAACTGGGGAGGGTGGGGTGGGCCAGTGAGAGCTGTGATCGAAGGGCAGAAAAGCCCCTTGCCCTTCCAAGGCCCTGCCCTGAATGTCCAAGCACCCAGCTTGCTTCTAATTCAACACTTGACAAGTTGGTGCGGGACACTCGCTGCGTCAGGCAGGGGGAGCCGGGGGCAGGGGTGCAGAGGGACGAGGCAGCGTGGCCCTTACCCCTTGGAGGGGGACAGATAAGTACAAGGGCAGCTGGGACACTGCAGGTGAGGAGGGCTGGGCGGTAGGAATGCAGACTTGGGAGGAGGTATCAGGGAGGGCTTCTAGAGGGAGGTGACATCCAAGCTGGGACCTGCGAGAATGAGCCCAGAGAGGTGGACAGGCAGCAGAAAAATGTGTTCCAAGGAGAAGCAACAGCACACTGGGAAGCAAGCTGGAATGCACTGTGTTCTAGAAAACGACGGAGCTCAGCATGGCCATCACAGAAAGAGGCGGGGCCTGGCAGGGAGGGAGGTGATCTGATGAAGGTCCTCGCCTGGACCTGAAATGACGTCCCGCGGGTCCCCAAGGAAGGTCTTGCCACATCTGGAGTCCCACTTCCCGTCTCTGGACCCCTTCTTACACTGCTCACTTCCCACCCCCGATCCCCACCCCAGCCTACTCCTGGGTCAGAATCCCACCTGCCCTCCGGTCACCTTCTGCAGGCTGCCCTCAGCAAGCTGGGGAGTAGGCGTGTCTCCAAAACCTAGCCACAGGGCCCATACCCCTGGGCAGCCCGGCACCAAGGTAGGGCTTGGCACCTGGGAAGCCTGATCACCCACTCCAAGGGGCTGAGGGGTGGTCTGGCCGCGGGGACTAAGCACTTCTGCCTCTGGGCTTTTCCCAGCTTGCACAAACCCAGGCACAGCACCGCCCATGCTCCATGGGCAGAGCAACTAAGAGCAGAACCGAACGGTGGTGTCCAGCTCCTCTCGGGGCAGGCCTGGGGCTCTCCAATGGCCAGCCTCTGGGACATCTGACAAGTGGAGAAAACATTCTTCTCTGGGGTGAGGACCAGCTTCCCCCAACTGGACACGCACATCCTCCCAAGAACCCCACCAGGCACGGGCAAGCACGCTCCTCTGCTCAGATGAGGCTCAGAGAGATAAAGTCACTTCCCTGAAGCCACACAGCTGGCTGGGGGTAGAAGTGGGACTCGAACCCTTGCCTGTCTGGTTTCAAAGGCACCCTGCTGGAAAGCGGGGAAGCTCTGGAATAGCAAAAGGAGTCCACCCCCAAGGAGGGGCACTGGTCTCCCATCCAGGACAACCAAGAGCATCTTTCTCCCGGATGGGCTGAGAACGGAGTGTCTTGGGCAGCGACTGGCCCCAGGCGGGTGGGCGGTGGACCAGGACCAGAGGGAAGATGTGGTTAGCTCACCTGCCCGGAGGGCTGCACCCCCAGCTGGAAGCCAGGTACACAGGGAGAACAGGGGCAACCAGCTCCCTCCCAAAGGCCCTGCCTCTCCCGAGCTGGGCCTCTCTGCTGAAAGCAGCCACGCCTGAAAAACCAGCTCCTGGATCAACATGAAACACCAGCCGCCAGCCTCGTCACAAGACCCCCTCAGAGCCGGAAGGACCACCTTGGAGCCGGCTGGCTGGGTGGGCGGGCAGGGGCCCTGCCTGCTCCAGGGAGCCACCCAGGGCCACCCGAGAACCCTTCTGCACCAAGAACAGTCCAAGGGTGCCTCCAGCCTCTGAGGACATGGGGGAAGGGGCAATGGTGGGACAGTGGGGGCAGCCGGCTCATCAGGAAAAGTCCACGACCTCCTCACAAGAAACAACGTTAAAACCTCCAAATCTCATGCTGCTGTCGCCCATGGTGCTCCTTTCCCTTAGGAAGCCATGACCCCTGGGGCACCCCCAAGCTCCTACTGGGTACCTGCTTCACTCAGGCGCTGCCACTCATGAGCCCACAGGCAGCACTGCGTCCATTTCCTAGAGGGACAAACTGAGGCTTGGCCGGCTAGGCAGCTGTCCAAGCCACACGCAGTGGGCAGACAGCAGACCTGGAATCGGCCTGACTAGTCTGCAACCAACCAAAATCTCAGTGCCACTGCCCACGCGAGCATTCAGGAGAGCGGCCACAGCCAGCCATGGACCTCAGCTGTTTGCCAAACAAGTTTTATTTAGGGCCCCGACAGGTAGCTCTTCTCCTGGGTCGGGAAGATCTCCTGGAGAAGGAAATAGCAACCCATGCGAGTATTCTTGCCTGAGAATCCCATGGACAGAGAAGACTGGCAGGCAGTCTTTGGGGTCGCAGAGAGTCAGATGCAACTGAGCGATTTTTTGAAACTGAATCTTTCAACCTTTTTAATAGGTAACTTGAACAGAAGTGGCCCCAGCACAGAGGTGGGCACTGGAGGCCCACATGTCCCCACCTCTGTCCCCTGGATGGGGTCTCATGCCCTCCAGGGCTCTGGGGAAGTCCAGGGGCTTGTGGGGCCCCAGCTGAGTCTCACACTCGCCCTGGAAACCATGTGCTGTTCTCTTGCTCATAGATGACCACGCCAAAGCACAGAGACACAGTGTAACTCACCGGAGGTCACACAGCCCCGTTGAAAGTGAAAGTCACTCAGTCGTGTCCGACTCTTTGCAACCCCATGGACTATACAGTCTGTAGAATTCTCCAGGCCAGAATACTGGAGCGGGTAGCCTTTCCCTCTTCCAGGGGATCTTCCCAAGCCAGGGATTGAACCCACGTCTCCCACATTGCAGGCAGATTCTTTACCAGCTGAGCCACCAGGGAAGCCCAGGAATACTGGAGCAGGGAGCCTATCCCTTCGCCAGGGGATCGTCCCGACCCAGGAATCGAACCGAGGTCTTCACAGCCCTATTGCTTGACCCTAAATCATGCTCCTGTTTACTCTCCTTCCCTACCCCCTTGTTTCAGGAAAACACAGAATATGTACCCCAAACTATACAGCCGCAGAAGTGGAGACCAGGGACTCACGGCCAGGGACTCCCAGGCTCCCTGGGGAGGGGGGCACACGGAGATGGCTGAGACAGCCCCCCTCCCTCCAGGCCCGCCCTCTGCTCCTACCGGGAACAGGATGCTCCCGGAGCCCACCTGCACTACGGGAGGGTGGAGGCCCGCAGCCCTGAGGGCGGCTACAGGCAGGTGTAATTTCATCGGGAGCCTTCACTGCAAGTCACCAGAATCGGAGGATGAAATTCCAGCTCTGCGGACAGAAAGGTGCAGCAGTCCTGGCTTAGGGTCGGCTCTCAGTGGGGGTGGGGACGCGGATGGGGTACCTCTGTGAACATGATGGAAAAGGCACGCCTTCCGCTGGGCGGCCCCACGCCAGCTAAGGGCTCAGCAAGCTGGGAGGGCCTGATCTCCATCAGGAGAGCAGCAGGGCTCTGTGCTACAGCCGTGCTGTGGAATACTACTCAGCCACCAAAAGGACCGGCTCCGGGTGCCCCGACCAGGCATCACGCAGAGTGAAAGAAGCGAGACGCAGGCTTCTGTGTGATGGCGTGTGTGTGATGCACTGGAGAGGCAGACCTATACAGACAGAAACCCGGCCAGCGGTTGCCAGGGGCTGGGGAAAAGGAGCAGGCTGCCCGTGCACAGGCTTGAGGGGACTTTTGCGGGGTGATGGAATGTTCCATGTCTTGACAGGGGCTGGGCTTTGTGAATGCAGACACTGGTTGAGCTCCTTGGACGGCACCCTTGAGACCTGGGCCTTTCACCAGCTATTCCTCACCCCTCGACAATACATATGGTAACATGTGAGGTGAGGCCTTCCTATGTGCCAGCCTGGGGCTGGATGCCAGGAACTGAGACATATGCTTCTGCAAGTTTCTCACCAGCCTGCGGAGGGACCAATGAATGGATGGACAGATACACACACACCATATGGTAGTAGTGAGACAGTCATTTTCTAGGCAGGTTGATGAGAAGTCTAGGGGTCCCCAAGGAGAGAGGGGTCTGAAATCCCAAAGAAGAAAAAAAGAAAAAATTTTTCCCCCTCTACATTCCTTTGGATTATATAACAATAATGTATCCTGCCTGAGGACAGTCTCTGGATTAAACCTTCTGGCTAATCCTGTTATCTTACAATGTAAATCATGGGAGTAGGTCTGGTGAGGTCTTTACAACCTCCAGAAGTTCTTTTGACCCTTAATATGAGGGTTAGCAGAATATATTGCCTCAACAATTTAGGGACCACACCCCTAAACAGCAGCAAGTAGTTATGGAACGAAAACGACGCCCCTTTCCCTTGGCAACATAATTCTCCTAAAAGAAAAGGGGGGAATGACAAAGTCATTTCCTAGGCAGGTTGATAAGAAATCTAGGGGTCCCCAAGGAGAGAGGGGTCTGGAATTCTCAAGGAGGAAGAAAAGAAACTTCTTTCCCCTCTACATTCCTTAGGGTTGTATAACAATAATGTATCCTGCCTGAGGACAGTCTCTGGATTAAACCTTCTGGCTAATTCGGTTATCTTACAATGTAAATTATGGGAGTAGGTCTGGTGAGGTCTTTACAAGGATTGGACTTCCCTGGTGGCTCAGAAGGTAAGGGTCTGCCTACAATGCGAAAGATCCGGGTTCAATCTCTGGATCAGGAAGATCTCCTGGAGAAGGAAATGGCAACCCACTCCAGTATTTTTGCAAAATCCCTCCATGGGATTTTGCCCAATCCCATGGACAGAGGATCCTGGTAGGCTATAGTCCATGGGGTCACAAAGAGCTGGATATGACTGAGCGGACTTCACTTTACAAGGATTATGTAACAATAATGTATCCTGCCTGAGGACAGTCTCTGGATTAAACTTTCTGACTAATCCTGTTATCTTAAAATGTAAATTATGGGAGTAGGTCTGGTGAGCTCTTTACAACCTCCAGACATTCTTTTGATTCATTGGAGAGTATATGACTCCACTGCTAACACTAGCAGGAGGGTACTCTTTCTGCCCACTTCTGATGCCTATGTCAGAAGCTTTCTTTATCTCCTTTATCCTTTAATAAAACTTTATTACACAAAAACTCTGAGCGATCCAGCCTCGTCTCTGGCCCCGGATTGAATTCTTCTCTTCTGGAGGCCAAGAATCCCGGTGTCTTTTCATGGTTCAGCAACAATGTACCTTGAGATCCCACCAGCAAAGCGGCCTGGCCCTGCCCAAGCCTCCGGGGGAGAAGCAGCCTGGAGGGTCTCCTCCAGCTGCAGGCCAGCGAGGGACAGGGCCCGGCTGTCACCAGCTCAGAGCTGGTCCTCCTCCCCCAGCCACACAGCCTGACCGGGCACCTACAAGCTGCCTAGGACCCCAACCCCTCAGGCTGGGGCCTCTCACCTCCAGCTTCCCACCCCATCTCCACTTGGGACCCTCCCTGGGGTGACCCACCTAGCTCACTGGAGAGTCCCCAGCATGTACCACCAAGCTCCCCACCCAACCCACAGGGCCATCCTGGGGCTTCAGCAGATGGGGGGCATCACTGCCATCTCATGTATGAGCACACAGCCCAGACTGGTGGCAGGGCCCCTCCCAGAGACAGTACCCCCAGCCTGGAGAGGGGAGCATCAGAGAAACAGCCTCCCAGTGCTCGGGGCTGGCTCTGTGAATCTTGGGACCACAGATCCTAATCTGGTGTCTGATAGGGTGTCCCCAGCAAGTTCATGCTCCTCCCAACAAACTCTCATTTTTCACTTTTTATTTTATATCAGAACTGCTGTTGTTCAGTCACTAAGGTGTGTCCAACTCTTCACAACCCCCATGGACTGGAGCACTCCAGGCTTCCCTGTCCTTCACCATCTCCCGGAGTTTGCTCAGACTCACGCCCATGGGGTCGATGTTGATTAACAATGCCGCGTTAGCCTCGGTGTACAGCGAAGTGATTCAGCCACACACAGAGCTGCAGCCGTTCTTTCTCAAACTCTCCTCCCATCTAGGCTGCCATGCAACGCTAAGCAGAGTTCCCAGTGCTTAATACCCCGCATGGACCACAGTTCCGGAGAAGTAAATGGCAACCCACTCCAATATTCTTGCCTAGACAATCCTGCGGACAGGGGAGCCTGGTGAGCTACCGTCTATGGGGTCGCACAGAGTCGGACACGACTGAAGTGACTTAGCAGCAGCAGCCTGGACCACGATGGCACAGAAGATTCTGAAACACAAGGCCTCCCAGACTGGGGGTCCCTGAGCCCCACCCCCCAGGTCTAACAGATCTGGACCCTTAAACTCCAGACTGGAGAACTGAGGAAATCACAAACAGCACCACCTGATTCAATCTCACTCTAGATCATCCCTGGAGCCTCAGGTTGAATCCTGACCCCAAACCTAGGCCCCAACCACACCTGCGTCCCCCATCCCCAACCATCTCACCGCCCAGAGGCTGCAGTGGGAGAATTACCAGATAAAACACAAGACCACCAGTTCAGTCTACACTTCAGCTAAACAAGCAAATTTGTAGTGTCATTTATAATCCGCACGGGCTTCCCAGGAGGCGCCAATGTAGGAGATGTAAGAGACGCAAGTTCAATCCCTGGGTTGGGAAGATCCCCGGGAGCAGGGCATGGCAACCCATTCCAGTATTCTTGCCTGGAGAATCCCATGGATGGAGGAGCCTGGCGGGCTATGATTCATAGGGTCACAAACACTCAGACAGGACTGAAGTGACTTAGCACGGACGCACATAACCGCCATACAGCATTATCCGTCAGTTAACCAAAATCCAAATTTAACCGGACGTCCCTATTTTAACTGGCTAAATCGGGCCACCCGGAGCAGGTGGTCCTGAAGGAGGGAGACAGGTGGGCACACAAATAGCTCTGGGGCAGCCAGGCCCAGCTCGGGACCAAGAGGAAGGGTGTCTGGAATGAGAGTTTCGTTGCCTGCCTGACACACCCCCAGTGGTCACCCCCAGCCAGTGCCTGGACAAAGCACAGCCTCCCCAAGCTCATTCAGGTCACCTAACTCACCCCAAAGTGAACAACGGCGGTGCCCTGGATGCCATCCTCAACCAGGACTCTGAGCCCTCTTGCTGTCATCAGACATAACCCATGGCACTGCAGCTTAAATGACAAAATGTCAATTCCCTGGTGGTCCAGTGGTTAAGACTCTGGGCTTCCAATGCAAAGGGTGAAGGTTGGATCCCTTGTCAGGGAACTAAGATCCCACGTGCTATGTCGGAAAACCACAAATGCAAAAAAAACACTTGAAATGACAAACTATTGACCCAGTGAGGTGGTCCCAGCCAGACATCCCTGCCGATGAGGAACCTGTGTGCCCATCAAAGCTGGCTCCCCTTGGGACTCACCTGGACAACTCAACCCTTTTACCTAGAAGTCTCTCTTATCACCCTGTCACCAATGGGGTGATCCGCCTCTGTTTTCTGACCAGGTCCATCTCCTTCATCTCTCCCACAGAAAACAATCCTTCCACCTTCCGGTCTCCATAAGGGTTTGGATCTCACGGGCCCCACACCCCCCGGGAGATCCTGAGCCCTAGGTCCTCAGTCCCACTCTGCTCACCAAGACTAGTGAATTAACCCTGCAGGTCCTGTTCCCGGTGCCCCCCAAGGCCTCCAGAGGCCCCCTGGAGCTGGGTGCACACTGCTGGTCTGTCCCAAGGAACGTGGCTGTGTCCCTGGTTGCCAGGCATCAAAGAGAGAGATGCCCACAGACGGCCTGGACCAAGAGAAACCACATGGACGTTCCGGGAGCAGAGCCCCAGGCTCAGGTGTGGGGTAATGGGGAGAGGAACCTCCCAGAGGATGTGGGGCAGGGAGCTTAGGGAAAGACCCTCGGGGTCCCATCATTGTGGGGACCTAACCCAGAGATGCGAATTCAGGAACAACAGGAGAGAGCCGGCTTAGCTACTCAGACCCTGGGGCAGAATTTCATCCTTTCATTCATTCACTCAATCAGTAAGTATTTGGGGAGCAGCCCTGGAGCTTCAACACTTTGGCCACCTGATGCGAAAAGCCGACTCATTGGAAAACACCCCGATGTTGGGAAAGAGTGAAGGCAAAAACAGAAGGGGGTGGCAGAGGATGAGATGGTTAGCGTCACTGACTCAACGCACATGAATCTGAGCAACCTCTGGGAGATAGTGGAGGACAGGGGAGCTTGGCAGTGCTGCTGCCCATGGGGCCACACAGACTCGGACACCGACTTAGCGACTGAACAACAACCCAGGCACCACGCAGCCGAAAGCAAGCCTCGGTCCCTGGCCTGTCCCCGTACCATCGGGGACATGTAACTCGGGTGAGATCACTACTGGGATGCGGAAGGACAGGATGTCATGGGGACACAGAGGTCGCACCTTGGCCAGTCCTGGCGATGTTCCTCGGCAGGTTTCCAGCCCGAGGACATGAGCGCCAGCTGAGTCCTGACACAGAAGGGGAGAAAGACAAATTCTACAGCCCCTACCCACCTTCATCCTAAGCAGGGAGGGCCCTTCAAGGAAGCCCCGCCCCTAGGAGGGAGGAAGCCAGGAGTTTAGAGGAACAGCAGAAGCAAAGGCCTTTCAGGGAAGGTGCAGTTTTCAAAGAGTGGGCCCAGGAGGCAGTGGGGGCCCCGACGAGAGCCAGAGGACTCGAACCAGAACCCAGAATGAGGATGGACCAGCAGATACGGTCTTCGGTTCCAAGGTCAGGCTGAGGACACAAGAGCCCCAAGCTGTCACCCACCACATCACCTGGGGTCTCCAACAACAGGCCATTACCAAACTGGGGACACCCCGGCTGTCGAGGAGACGGGGAGGCTGCACAAACAGGTGCCTCCCGGACCCCTATCATGATGTCTGCCTTCCCGACAATTTGCAAGCATCAGATACTGACAACTGGCAGGCAGCTCACGGAGGCTGCCTGAAATGAACAAATGAAGCACACTTGCAAATACATGACCCTTCCTCAGGCATCCACACAACAGTCCTCCTAAGTAGGTTAAGCCTGCCCCTCCAGTGCTATCTTC